AGTAAAAGTTAAATTTAACAAAATTGACTGGAAAATTTGTACTGAAAACTGTTTGTCAGCAACATTTGGATTATTTTTATATAAAAAAACACTGGTTTTAATAAAAATTTGTAAAAAAAGAGAAGCGAGGAAGAAATCTGTCGCCAACATTTTTAAAATGATCATACCCCACAGTGGACCCCACGCAACAAATTTCTGGTTACACAACTGGAAAGTACTGATAAATACAACATAATAAACAATAAACAACATTATGTGAAGGCATTCATTAATGATCAGGAAAGTTTATATTTTACCTTATACTATTCCTTTCAAGATATAAACCAGGTTTAGTGCAAATGACATTTCGTGATTAAATAAAATTGTTTATATATATATATATATATATATATATATATATATATGTGTGTGTGTGTGTGTGTGTGTGTGTGTGTGTGTGTGTCTGTGTCTGTGTCTGTGTGTGTATAACTATTTAATGAGTGTGTGTGTTAACTATTTAAACTTTAACATGTTGAAACGTAATTTAAAAATAGGCTTAAGTTTGATAGTAGGCACTTCATGAACAACACTTGCTGCAAATGACTGATCATACTTGCTATCACAAAATTTTCCGCGTAACCGTATTATAATTAATAAATCTTTATGAAGTTTTTGTTAATTCAGCGTGAAAAGTTACAAGTTTAACATATTGCATGAATAAATTATAAATGGGATGAAACTTTAGAAAAAAATGAATGAAGGTCTGTCTGTCTGTCAACGAAGTGGTGCAATTTAACTGATGAATAAAATGTTCAACAACTTTTGCTCGTTTGCAAATTCAACTAAGATCCATTAAATGAGAGTTCGCGTGCTATTGAACAAATGTTTTTATAAAAATATGAAAAGAGCTACAAAAAAGATCATGAATAAATATATTAAAATTAGATATAATAATATAATATAATAATATAGATATAATAAATATAATAAAATTATATACATGTACATATACATATATATATATATATATATATATATATATATATATATATATATATATAAGATATGAACTAGTATAAATTTAAAACAATAACGATCACAAATTGATAAAACTTCATGTGCCGTTTCAACTATACAAACGACTGTCATATATCTTGCAGTAACATCGATAATTCAATTGAGGAACTATTATTTAGAGATTATAAAGGAAGGAATTTTAATGACAATAGTATAAATGAAGAAAATGTAACATGAAAAATGTTCAACCGAACGTTTTTGCTAACTTCCATCTATTTCCGTTACGGTGGTTCTAAAACTTCTCCAGTTAATGACCTATTTTGTTTACTTTCATTTCCTTCTTCATGACCTGCCCCTGGATCCACTACAGGGTTTATGGAAACATACAGATAGGTGAATGTATGAAGACATACAGATAGGTAAATGTTTGGAACCATACAGATAGGTGTTGAAGAAGTGAGGTTATATAGGTACAGGGCCAAAGTTAAATTTTGTGTGCTTTACTGTAGTTTGTAAGTTTTATCGTTTATAAATTTCAACTGTTTGTTATTGCTGATGATGGCAATTGCGTACATCTGTTAGAAGTAAATTATCTTTGATGTTACTCGACAGTAATTTGAAATGTCAAAAAATTAATCAAATATTTTTTACCGTTAATTTTTGGTTCTTCCATTTTGAAAAAATTTTAACAAAAAATTAAAGTTTATCTAATTGACGAAAATTAATAAAAAATTGTTCCTATGAAGCATGTAAGTTTCAAAAAAATCGGTTGTCCAGTTTTGGCTGGAAACTGCTAAATTGAAATAAACTTTATGTGAATGATAATACGTCATTAAAATATGTTATGCTATAGTATGCAAATCTGTTAGTTTTGAGTTTTTGCTGGTATATATTGAATGATTTTTTAATTATTTTGTTTTGTAATGTGTGGTTGTCGTTACTGATTAAAATTCAGAACATGAAAAAGCGTCAAATAAATATTGACTCGTACGATGTACATAATAATGTCTTGCAATCATTGACATCTAAAGTGTTCTAAAAAATATTTGTAGAAAAAGATATGACACAAAACCATGTGCAAATATGAGATGATGGCTACAAAGTTTTTTTGATATGTGGTTGATTGAATAGATAGATTAGAAAAGAAATTTCAACGTCAGCAGGGTCACATCATCGCAAGTTTTTTAACATGAACTATCGGACAAACACAGGCACAAAGTTATGTTTGTGTAGATGCATTTTGTATACATTTTATTTATTGCAGTTTTGAGCAGCATGTTTTCTTAATTGGTCCAGCAAGTTATCATTCAGTAATGTCAATCACAACATCGCAGTCATTAAAAGTAACAAAATTACGCCAATTTTAGGTACTCAGAAAAACCTCAAAATACGAGTGAGCAGCCGCAGTGACGACGACAAATGACTGCTTGTGGTTGCATTCGTCTCAACTTCAAGAGGACATCTCGATGCGAATCTTCCTACATTTTATTATTTCGCTAATCAGTCCATGCGTCCTTTGTAATTTTTAAGTTTTTCAACTTGCACGATAGAACGTTAAAACGTTAAAGTTAGAAACCGACGTAGAAAGCCAGAACATGTTTTTGTTGAAACGTTTGTAAGCATTTTAACAAAGAAAACATTCACTACCCAATATTGAAGTTGCTCCCCCATGAATGACGACACGACTGCCATACCGTCGGACCAACCTGCCCCTAACATATCCGCACCACACAAACCAGACCATATGAAAAATATTAATATTTCCTATAATTTCAACATTCTTATAATTCATATGTGCATTGTCATATCAAATTTTTACACTCGATATATTTATATATATATCATAATTATATATAAGTATATAATTTAGAATATTTATATATATATATAATATATATATATATATATATATTATATATATTACATATTATATATATTATAAATTTAGTTAAACGGTTAATTAATATATGTAAGAAAGAATTTATATATATATATATATATATATATATATATATATTATATATATATATATATATATATATATATATATTCCAACGATTTTGATACTTATGCATCAATATTCATTTATATACAATTTGTTAAATAAATTAATATAAAAAAATGTATATATGCTTGTGTATGTGTTTGTGTGCGCGAATGGTGTGTGTGTTTGAGCGTGTAAGCATTTGATACAAATATTTTGGGAAATAACGAGCAGTTAAGTATTAAAGTGTTGCATGTTGCTTGTGCATAGGTTTCCAAATTTTGAGACCATACTGAGTAGAGAGATCAGAGAAGATTGAGATGGCTAACATTTTCAATAAATACGAAGTCATATGTACAGTACACGAATCATCAATAACTTGAAGTGCACGATGTAAAATGACTATGTTCAATATTCTTCGTTCTTTGAAACGTGTTAAAATTTTAAATGAATTGGAAGAATGAATGAACGAACGAACGAACGAATGAATGAATGAATGAATAAATAAATATTTTATATATTAAATAAATGAGTAAATAAAATATACACATGTGCCTGAATGAGTATACATACATACACATTTCGAAAAAATATTGAGTAACATGTAAATGTTATTACATTAGTTATACCGAAACAAAAAATTTCAATAAAAAACCAATTAACTTTTAAATAAATTTAATTGGTTAGTTTTTATGAAGCTTTAAACTTAAATAAATATATAATAATAATTGAATTATTGCAGGAAATATAAGAAAAAAAAACTTAATGTCACAAAAACAGAATAAGTGTTATTGTTACACGTAAACACATTATTAATAATGGGCTTAATTGTTCAGAAACAAGTTAATACTGACTGAAACAACATCTTGTAACAAACATAAACGTAAACACCAAACAAAACTGTGTTTAACATCAGCTGAAAATGAAATTGTTTGAAACGTACGTAGGCAAACTTAAACACATTCTGCATATTTAGTTGTTACATGTGACACCAGCCGTGAAGTATTAGTTAATTGTGTGTAACATGGCAACAATTGAGAAATTGTGATGAGAACAAATAATAACAACTATATAATAATAATTATAATAATTAATAGTTCAGTTGTAATGTTTTGAAAAATTATAAATTTATTTAGTTATAAATATGCATGATTCCATTTAAGCGGAAATAAAATATTGGGCATATTTATGATTAAGCATCGACATGAGTAAGCGTAATAACGTTCGTAACTTAACTTGGACAGAACGATCTGAAATGAATGCAACGAAACATACCTATAAATAAACATCTGCCAATTAATTGATGTAACGAATGATTTATCAATCAATCAATCAATCAAATATTCAATCAAATGATCAATCAGTCAATCAATTATTCAATCAATCATTCAATCAATCATTCAATAAATTATTTAATCAATCATTCAATCACTCATTCAATCAAATCAATCATTCAATCAATCACTCAATCAATTATTCAATAAATCATTCAATCATTCAATCAATCACTCAATCAATTATTCAATCAATCCATTGATCGATCAATCAATCAATCAATCAACCAAACCTACAACCAGCCAACAGACCAATCAATCAACTAATCAACCTTTCTTTTCGGCAAACCGACCAACAAATGTGCATCACTCCATCAGGAAGTATTTCTTGGACGGTCGAAATAAATAATCCACCCCACTCCTCATATTCACTTAAATTAAAAGTTGAAACGGCCGTGGCATACGAACCAACCAACACACCAACCAACCAACCAATCAACCAACCTACCAACCAATCAGTCAATCGCTCAATTTTCATCAACTAAGACCATGCAGACGCCAACCAACCTAACAGTCAATGTATTATGTTGCTATCTATTCGTTAATGCTTTTCTCAATCCATTATTACATCATCAACCCATCAATGCATGCAAACATATATCACGCATCATTCATTACGTCATCCATGCATCCACGCATCAATGCACCAATCCATCAATGCACTGACGCATTAATGCACTGACGCATCAATGCATGATTTGTTGAGGTGGGAGACAATGTAGGGCAGGCACAAAAGTGGGAGCCATGTTTAAGGTGGTCGGTGAATGAGGATCTGCACCTGGAATTGGTTGAAAATGTGGTTGGAGGGGCGTGAAAGGCCCGTTTGTGGGAGACGGAGAAATGTAACCAATAACCGAGAAGGGAGCAAATCCAGCGGGTGTCTGTTCAAATCCCGGTTGAATAATTTGGGGGTAGGTGAAAGTTGCCGGTGCGTAGTTGATAATTCCGTTGGGCGACTCATTCGGCGTTGTTGGGCTGCCCGGGTAGACGGTACCGTTGCAGTTGTTGTTGTTGTTCGTGACCGGGCCGTTGCTGTTGTTGTTCGTGTTGCTGGAGTTGGATATGTTGATGGAGTGGATGGGAGTGTATGGTGCCAATGCAGCTGTGTGAGTGATGAAGGCTGGAGTGGCAGGCTGGATGAATGGAGTTATCCTGTAAATGTAAATATTTTGAAATTTGTTTAAGACAAATGTATGAATAAGTTTGGTGAAACACTAAATTGCACACAGATATACGTACACTCGTACATACACAAACACACACACACATTAAAACATTCACAATATTTATTTAGCAAGTGTTCATCGCATAAGCAGATCCATGTTTACAAATGTTTGCAGGAACACGCACACACACACAAGCACGCACACACGAAAACACACGTCAAAGTGTTAAAATACACGCGCAAATGTGTGTATTAAAATGTTTTCATAAAAAGAAAGAAAGAGAGGTGGCTTGCTGTGATAACATGGACTCTTAACACGGCGAAGATAAATTATATTCACAGTGCATTAATGTGTATTTTACCTTTTTATATACTCCCATATGTACAGTAAATGTGATAAATACATATGAGACACACATATATACACACATACATACACACATACATACACACACACATACATACATACATACAACTGAATGCCGACATGTGCAATTAACGACAAATCAAAGTGTTAATCCATTTGTTACTTGATGTTTGACGGTTCAGTGTCACTCATCATGTTTTGGTTTTAACATACATACATACATACATACATACATACATACATACATACATACACACACACATACATACATACATACATACATACATACATACATACATACATACATACACACACACACACACACACACACACACACATACATACATACATACATACATACATACATACATACATACATACATACATACATACATATGTACATATGTATGTATTTATTTGGGTATATTATTATAATGTATGTAATAAGTGCCGTATAGAGCCCTGTAATTTGATCAACAGCATTCAAACCGTGAAATGTTATTATTAACTCGTCATGTTATTTCATTGGCACATTATAAAGCCGAGCGTTAAAATGTGCGCAATGTTTCGATGTTTTGTCAGATAAACAAAATAATCTCTACCGCTGTTATATTGTTCATAAACACTAAACAATGAAAAGTATTATGGCTTCGTTTATTGTTTAAAAACATTGCAGAGTCGTAAAATACATCTATTAAATAGACAATCAACCCTAAGAAAATAAATTTTTAACGTTAACATTTCTGCTCGGCATAAGCTCTCTATAACAAATATAACATTAATCTAATCTTGACGGCGGTTCATACGGATGAGTCACCGTTCAAGCAATTCATCCTGGAACTGAAGTTCATCAGGGAAAACCCGAGGAAGTTATTTGTAATGTTTTATTAATTGCAGTGCGCACAAATGACGTGCACGTTTATGAGGAATTATTTATGGATGAAGAAGTTTAAGCGAATATACACTGTAAAAAATGCGTTGTACTTTCATCGTGTTATTCTTTCGTTATATGCGATTTATAAGTGCCGATGAAACGCATAACAAATTTGTGTGTTAGGAGTGGGTTTCATGTTCTGTTTATGTTAGAGTAGTTATGTTAATGAATGTGTCAGTGTCATTATGTTGGTGTGATTGTTTCACTGCGTGTGTCATATTAATAATGCGTTTTGGCGCATTTGTTTCATTTTAATGGGACGCTTTCACGGTTGAATCAAATTTCTGTAGACATTTGAATGGATGAACATGAAGTGGATGTTGCAGAATCTCCATCTGCATGTCCTAATATATTTCTTGTCATTGAACGGTTGCATTATTTTTCTACATTGTAACATGTTGTTATATTCCATATAGATGAAGTTAGAAACGTGAAGTTAAAATGACAAATTCCGATCATTGGAGACGTTGATGTTTTTTCCGAATTATGCAAATAAAAAATTGTCTCAAATTTCAATGCAGTCGACGACGCTGGACGCTTCGATTATATACAGATGAAGAAAAGTCTAACGTAAAAAAGCAGTACTTAATTCGATCAAAAAGTGCTTGCATTGCTTGACCGAGAGGACCATCCTTACAGGCATACGAGGATTTCGCAAATTTAACTTTGTATGCAGTGAAATATTTTTTTTTTTAGGTCCGTAACATTTCAGTTCATAATATTCATGTCTTCATGCTTTCCTTCTGATAAAGGTTAAAGGTTACTCTCTTTTGCACTTGCTTCAGAGATTTCAAAGACAAACATACACAGCGAATATGAATACGCGTGAAAACCACGCACCATACACATTACATATGATAGGCGGGGATCTCTTTGTATTCGAAACCAGTCACTGCAGCAGCAAGACCAGGCGCTTTTAACCATTGAGCCATCACGCCGCCCGCATACGGAAAGCAGAGTACTATAACATAACATGCCCCATCGATGGCTGGATGGGTTTGTTCGGCTCTGTAGTGCCGGTGAAACATTTGTCGTCAAAAAAGGATAATCTGAATAAATATAGCAGTGGTAAATTAGAAGTTATTGTCTCATGTACGTACATTAATTGTCTGCAGTTTGATTTAACAAAGGTGAGCAGCATTCAGTCTTTTTTAGGCGTTTGCTGATTGACATAATTAACATAGCAGACATAAGCATTTGCAGGTTAAAAAAATTTAATTTGGAATTAGAAAATGTACTTTTACTGTTAATCAAACACAACAAAGACGTTGTCAAAATAAAGTTTAAAAAAGAACAAAACAACATCAAAAAATCTGTTGAATGTGACAGCAGACTACATATAACAAAGAAAAATGCAAACTGACATGTACAAACATGATGTATTGCACATGAACTTAGGTAAATATGAAAGAAAACTTTAAAAGCTATTTAAAATCAAACGTTTGTGAAAAATTAACAAACATTAACAATTTAAAATTTACAACTAGATTAAATAATAACCTATTGCAAACACAAAAAATACAATTAACATAAACACATAAACGATAGCAATGTATAACCGAGCATTGAATAAACAAAACAAGCATAAACGTGTATGGCTGAGCAAAAACTTTCGAAACAAATCATAAACGACCATCACAAAGAAGAACAAACGGTGCAAAAAACTCGAAATACCGCCTGGTGAAGTTATTTGCATAAAATTCTCGACGCTGCATTGTTATACTTCTTTTATCTCTCTCCTCGACAATAAACTTCATGTTATCCTCCATTTTTTTCCAGGTTAAACACACGCAGATAAACAGTGTGTGTGCGTAGGTACGTGTGTGAAGCACTAACGAAAGTAGAAATTCGTTCGACTATTTCTCGAGATCTTATTGAATGAAATTTATACATTTGAATTGAAATATAACGAGATTGATGTTAATTTTTTTTATCAACAATTGTCAAGTCGGGCATCAACTTGCGCGGACCTGATTTACTTCGAAAAATATTTCTATTTAAAATTTTAAAACTAGACAAAGTCATTTAAAAATATATGCCAAAAATATAAAATTTTAGCCTTGTTATTAAATATTGACAAAATTATGTTTCAAGTTTTTCTTTTTTCCACGTGACTCCCAATATTAATTATTCACACTCAACCGCGATGCACACGGTGCAACACGAATGAACGACGCTTTTCAGTAGGACGCTATGGTGGCAACTATTTCTTAAATCATGCTTTGCTAACAATGCTCTGAATTATAATATATTCCAACTAATATTCTCTAAAATATTATAACGTTATTCATTTTATTATTTCAATTTACCATGCTTTAAAAGTAAAGTTGCACTTTTAAGGCGAGATTTCTTAAGTTACTTTGGTTGCCACGTTACTTAGAGCGATATTTGAGTTACTTAAATTTTCAAATCGAAAGAAAATTGCAGAGAGAATGTTTATATTCATCGACTGCTTATTTTCTTAACGTACTTAAATAAATAGTTCAGAATATTCGATGATTTGTAATCATCACGTGCGTTACATGGATATATCGCTCCATATTTCAAACATTCATCTTCGGTTTGTTGTTTTTAGTCACACATGAGATATTTATTTATTTAAAGAAAGATTTGTTTCATCTCATTTAATTTATGCTATTTCAACTTTTCTATCGAGCTTTCATCGTTTCTAATTAACAATTCTCAGTTCTCTAATGTTATTTCAAAGCGAATCAAAGGAATCAAACATTTGTTAACAATACACGCTGCTAAGTAATTTTTTACAATTAAAGTAACTGTACTTTAACATAGATGGTATTGAACCACATCTTCTTGAGAATGAATTTTATCCCACAATATACGTAGTGCAAATGAATCCAAAAGTTCTACTGCAATTTATTTGTAAGAGTTGTTAGTTGGGTAGATGGCTCAGAATGTAAGAACAATGCTTTGAAACATGTAAGCATTTTTTAAAAATTAAGATTTTTTGAGATGGTTGTACTTGAACAAGAGTTGAATTAGAAAGTTAAACCTTCTATAAAAAATAATGTGCAACAAAAATTGAAAACTGACTACCCACAAACTGAGTGCTTAACTAGTTATGTGTTACATATCATTCCTGTTTTATTTGGCATGTGTTGTGATGCACCTTCAAGTATTGTATTATATAAACTAAAAATCGCCTTGAAAGGTTATTGAATTTATATTTTTCATACAAGATTAAAGTAACTTGCACCGCATTTTATACAATGCTCAAGCTAAATAGTTCTCATTTATGGTCTTTGAAGCTAAGTGCTTGTACCAACATTGATATTTGAAAGTTTTATTTTAAAATATAACATAATGCTACACGTACGTAATGAGCAGCAAGTAAGTAATACTGTACACGTATTATATTTTATGATAATCAAAAATTGTTGCAGCATGTTCGGTATAAAAGTTTGTTCCCAAAAGAAAAATTTCAACACCCTTGTTCGCCTCTTCCTGCTGCCAAGTGCCCAGTCTGGTAGTATTGATAGTTTCAAAAAATAGATCATAAATTTAAAAATAGACACGTAAAAATGGTCAAAGTGTGACTGATTTGGAATTTTGTTTAAAATTTAAACCATACGTCAGGCATGTCTAGGAACTCAATTTTTCTTCTAGTTCTGTTAGTTATGGGTGTTGCTAGGAAAGTTACAGATTTTTCCAGAACATGTTCATGGCAATCCTTTAGAACTTCTCATCTTAGTAGATGCGGTTAGATAGGAAAGATGGTGGGGTAGCAAAATTACTAAACAACACTAAACTGGTTCAGCATGCTATCCAATATAATATCATATTTAAGTGAACTCAATCTTTAAGACTGATCATGATCACGTCAATTACATTTTAAATAGCATTCTATTTTGCGTACATAATACACACAATGCAATGCAATATTGTTATATAAGTGACATAAAATATCAGCAAATAAAGCATTTCTTTTTTTATTGGAATGTAACTGTGCCATTCTTCGTTACAGCCATTTATACTTTAGTCATTACCCTCATCAAAATATAAAACTCAACCGCACTTCTTTATTAGCTTCATCAATTTTTGAACATTCATTCAATGTCTCGCGATGCAAAAATTTTCAAAGTGCATTAATCTCGTCAGCAGGATCTTAAACCGAAATCACACATATTAACATAACATATTATAACATTATAGTGGGTTCATATCTGTTAAGACCTAAACTTCATTACAGCACATTTATTAACATTTAAATCTAGCTTCTATTTTATACACCAAGCATAAAAATCATCCAGATAATTTTGTAAAAGTTGTTTATCTTCTATCGAGTTAATTAAACTAAACAATTTGGCATCATTAGTGTAAAGACTTAACTGAACAGAACTGCTCTCAAAAACTTTGAACATGTCATTAGCATAAATGATAAACAGAACAGACCCTAAGACCTTTCCCTGGGGCACTCCGCTGCTTACATCTAAGGCACCTGATATGCAATTACTTCCCCTTATCTTGGATGATCTACCTTTCAAATAACCCCTAATTCATTCAACCAGGTCTCTATCCACTTTGAATGCCAATAACATTGTTAACAACAACACGTGAAAGACTCGATCAACAGAACTGTTGAAATCTACCCTTCCTGAATTCCAATTTGCACATACTCCTATTATCCTCAACACAAAGATTAAACTTAACTTCAAAACAACTTATTATAACATGATCTCCATCGCCAAACGGAGATAGGGGGAAATCCATCATCAGCGAAAAATGAATTTACAATGATATTTTCAATGATTTTACATAACATTAGATACATCATCGTTATAAATACAGGATGAAACCTAATAAATGGTAAATTAACGGTAAAAATTTTGCTGATGCAACAAAACAATGATCAAAGGTTTATAATTGGAAAGCATAGTTACATGTGCATATGGAATGTTACTTTGAATGTAGACATCTAACATTAACGTGCTGTCATATAAATGTAAACATGCAAATCATTTTTTCGTTAGGGGAGTTAAAATAAAAAATCTATTAATAAATAGAAAAATTACAGTTATGTTTCTAAAAATGAGAATAACACAATTGAAAAATAAAGAGGTATGGACCAGTCAGTTATTCACGTACCTTGTACAATAACGCATCTATGCAAATACATGTAAATCACAAAATTATTTTAACTAGTTGGAAAACCAATTGGTAAAAATGTGTAACCATAGAAAATTAAAATTATAAAAAAACTTTTGAATCATATTAATTTTTTTGCACGATCAACTAGCTACTAGAACAGCGGACAAATGCTGCTTGAATTTGTTGTTTTAATTATTTCAGTTATTGCAGGCTTGTTTGTAAAACCGCAAACAAGTTTTTTATGGGTGCGCCGATGCGAGAAGGCACTCCGTAATGGTGCACTTGTGTGAG